GGGATGCGTGGGGGAGGGGGAAGCCAAGGTTCCAGCCTTGAAGTTGAGGGCCAGGAAAGCAGGGCCAGGAGCCAGTGGGAAGGCACGGACTGTGAACGCACCAAAAAGGAGGAACCTCCTCCGATCCCCCAGGAGCAGGGCCCACGTAAGCCCCACCCTGAGCAACTGGCCTCAGGGTTCCGACCTGCTGCTGGTCAGGCTCCCTGCTGTCCACCTGAGGGAGTCTGGGTGGGCCTATCCCCTGCCAGTGTGGGCTGACCGGGTTTCCCCTTGGGCCTCTCAGCTCATACCTGCCTGTCTAAGTGTCTCGGGGCATGTGGGGTAGGTGATCCCTGTCCCCGGGCTGTCCCCACCCAGCACAGCCCCACCCTCATCTCCTCAGCTTGACTCATCCTCTCCAGGCTGAGGGGGCTGTGGGTGCTGGTGGAAGCCTCTCTGACCCTGGGAACCTCCTCCCCAGAACCATGGAGGCCTCCTCGGATGGGGGAACCTGTCCCCTGGGTTGAGGGTCAGGATGCGGGTAGCAGGCTGCAGGAAGGGATCAGACCTCGCACCCTTGTCAACTCCACTTTTCTCCACTGGCATCAAGAGGGCTTGCTGGCGGCTGCAGCAGGAACCACCACAGGGAGAGTGGGGGCACCTCAGGCCATGGGACTCCAGGCCCTGCTGGACCACTCGGGCCATTCTAGAACCGCCCTGGCTTCATGCTGGAAGCCGGAGCTCCTCCAACTCCTGGCAGAGAGGAGGTTTACCTGCCCCGGGAGACATGACAGATGCTTTGCCTTGGGGGGGGGGGGTTGCCCCTGGGGCTTATAAAGACACTCTTGCAAAAGGGGACACAAATGGACACGGACATGGGTTGCACTGTAGCAAAAGGCAGCAGCGTGCCCCCAGGACCGCGTGAGCAGGCTGCTTGCCACTCCCTGAGCCCGCCCTCCCTTGGCCTGTCCACCCCGCCCCCACCCCGCGACGTGGCCAGCACCCCCTGCAGTGCGGGTCCAGCCCTGGACACACCAGCCGACACTCCGAGTTCTATCAAGAGTGGCGTTTATTCTCCTCGTGGAGGTGCGGCGCTCCGGGGAGCTGGTGCTATTGTGCTTAGGAAGGAGGTCTGTCCGTCCGTCCGTCTGTCCGGCCGGCCCGGCCCCAAACGGGGGCGGAAGAGGGGCGCGGCCCGAGTAAAAATCCCGGCCTGTTCCGGGTGGGAGTATGTGAGCAGGAGGCTCTGGTGGCCACTGCCTCCGGCCTTCTCCCTAGGTAGGTGGACAGGCGTGGGGGGAGGCGGGGCCTGTGTGTGCATGTGCATGCGAGTGTGCCCCGCACAGGCGGGCAGGCCCCGGCTTGGGAGCTGTGTGGGCATCGACCTGGGATGTAGGGGTTGGGGATGTGGGAGCTGCTCTGCTGGGCCCTCGGGTGGGCG